TAAGAGACTTTCAAAAAACTTGTTGCAAACTTTATTCCAAACTTTTATGGCAAATAATTATTTAATCAGAGTAAAATACAAGGCTTTCCAGCACAGTGCCACAGAAATAGCTTGCTTGCTTTTGCGGTTGCTGCAGCTAGTTAAAAACTTAAATTAGAATATATTTTAGTAGTATTGATATATTATAGTAATTATGAATATTTAGTTTTAGCTTTTATTTTTATATGTTTTGTTTTCATGTTAGTTTTAGTTCTTTTTTTATGTGCTTGTGCTTCAGCTGATTTTGGTTACTTTCCAAGGCTACATTTAAAATATTCTTGTAATATTTATTTTTCATTTGATTTCAGTTTGATTTCAATTGACATTTTTAATAGTTTTAGTGTATATTTTTAGTTTAAAGTCCAATATGTTCAGTTTTAGACCTTTTCTTTGGCTGAAAAGCTATGTAGCTACTTTGAATTGATCATCTCAAAACCATGCCTGTTTTAATGTTGACTATCACAGTAACTCTGAGGAAAGACTGTCTCCTGGTGGACATTATATGTATAATAAGAGGAGGAAGGCAAAGGCACTAGTCTCTCTCAGGCTATGCATTGCTAAATGTTTAGTGGGCACATTAGAAATTACAATGTACTGATTATTCTTTCTTTTCTCTTCTCTTATCCACTCACCTGTCCTAACTTGCTTGTATTTTATCCCAAGTCCATCCTTTCCTGACCTCTTCTTATTATGCTGAGGTTATAATAGCTCAGCGCCTGTATTTTTGACATATACATTAAGACTAGCCCCTATCTATTCCTGCAGTCGTCCATTTTTCCTTTACAAGTAAATATAGTTTATAACACTTGTTGAAAAGTAAATAGATAAGATTTTAATTATTTTTAGGACAATGATTAATTGAGTTTAATTGAGTCCGATTTCATAAAGGAAGGAAAGACAATTTTACTCAAATGTCCTTTTCTGCCTCACGGCCTCAGATTGTCTAGCTCAGCGCCTGTATTTTTGACATATACAGTAAGACTAGCCCCTATCTATTCCTGCAGTCGCCCATTTTTCCTTTACAAGTAAATATAGTTTATAACACTTGTTGAAAAGTAAATAGATAAGATTTTAATTCTTTTTAGGACAATGATTAATTGAGTTTAATTGAGTCCGATTTCATAAAGGAAGGAAAGACAATTTTACTCAAATGTCCTTTTCTGCCTCACGGCCTCAGATTGTCTTAGCATTGCAATCACTTTTTGTAGCGGCATGTTGACTATCAGCCTCCAAGTACTGCCCTGAGTGGTCCTACATGCCCCCCCCCCCTTTACCCTGAGATCTGATCCTGTCCAAGGTGAACGCTTCATGGCGACGATGACCCTAGAAACCAGGGGAAGCACAGGTGACCTCTGAGCCTAAATCAGCTCCCAGCTAAAGCACAACGCCTCAGTACTGAAGAGCTCTGACCAAGGTACGAGTCTAATTGTAATTTCATAGTAAAGCTGGCCGATGGATGCAAATAGCAGCCAGTATATGTACACTGAATAAACAATGTAAATTATATATGGTAAATAAAATATAAAGCGGCTACAATCTCCTATGTAAACAAACTTATGGCAATATATTTTAAAATATTTTAGGGTGAATCTCAATAAAACATGCACAGATCACATATCACTGCAAAATAACATTTAAAAAAATCATTTTTTTTTTCAAAAAGAAAAAGTTTATTTTTCTGACTATTTTAGATGTTTTACCCTTATTTTATGCCGATTTAGTATAATTCACCCAAACAATTACTAAAAGCATCCTCATTTATATATATTTGTGTGTGTATATATATATATTTATTTTTATATATTTGAAGTCTAAACAAGTACATTCTAGCCCCCCAAAAAACTCTTAAAACTACATTCTGTGACACAAAAACATTATTATTTATTATGAAACGGTTGGAGTTCTGATATCACTAGAATATCACACTCCTTTCAGCCAATCAGATTCGAGGACCAGAAAAAACTGTTGTGTGTATACATGCATATATATATATATATATATATGAAGAGTTTATTTGCAAAAACAGATAACTTTTTATTATGTTATCATGTTTTTATTATGGTTAGTTGTGTTAGTTAGCTGTTTTTTTAAGTAATTTTTTAACCCAGTCAAAATAACCCAGCTGCAGTTTGATTGAGATTAATTGGAATGCACAATGAAAAAACGTGATTTTTGAAAATTACACAGTTATCTGTTTTTGCTAATTAACTCTTTATACATGCATACATACATACAAACAGTATATATATATATATATATATAATTTATTTATTATATATATCATTGATGATTTGTTTTTAAATTCACATAAGTGTAATATATACATTTTTGTATTTAACACTAATTTACATAGCAAGTTAATAATAAATACAGTAAATAATAAATATAGTAAATGCATATTTAATACAATTAGCAATTTAAGTAATTATATTGCATTGAAGTAATGAGAATTGAGTGGAAATTGTGCTTAATTTGGCATGGACTTCGTCTGTAAGCAAAATATAATTGATAATTTCTTTGTTTTTATTTTGAGGTGACATATGACTTGGAAATGTTTTCGATAGGTTTTATGAGATTCGCCCTTTAGCTGATATGTAGTTTGGGTTAGGTTTAGATAGAAAATGAGAAATAATCTAAGCAGACTTGACTTTCTGCAAAGAAAATATCTGCAGCACAACTAAATAATTACCTTCAGAGAAAGTCCTCAAGCTACTGACAAATAATTGGTAAATATTTATCAAGTATAAGCCAGATATTTTATATAAGATTAGCTTTTGTATTTTTATACTAAAAAGGGGAGAATGTGTTGAGATTAGATAGCGTGAGGTTCATACTGTATGACTTGTTGAAATGAAGAATGAAGCCTGGGATCAGTTTTCTATGTGTTTCCCCCAGTGGATCTGAAGTGTGAGAGCGGCTTTCATTTCAAAGCATATATTTTGTTACGTTACATTTGACAGCACATTACACTGTACGTGTGAAGCACTTTGTGTCACTGGAACGTATTAGCAACGTATGATAAACAACCAGTTGGCGGTGAATAATAAACTGCTATTGACTGTTGAGATCAATATTGTCATTCATATTTAATGGCTTCCCAAGGGTTTGCAAACAACTGCCTAACTGCCATTGTTTACCTATTTTCTGCTGAGAAATATATATAGCTACAGCATATATAAGACGCTATAGTTGAGTTTGGTGGTCGTGTCCATCAGATGCCGGATACATACCTCATAACTTTCTTTTTCGTGTCTTAAAATGACTTCACTGAAGTAGAATAGACCCAAACTCTGATGCGACACACATCCGAGCACCATATGCTGTGTTAAAACACTGAGAAACATCCAAAATATATGTACAGAGAAACTGTGGAACTGTATATAAACTGTATGATCATGGATATGTTCATTTAGGGTATTTTTTGTAAGCTTTTTTTTTTTTTCTACCAAAAGCGTTTGAGAGATCTGAACTGCATGTAGATATCCTCTCAAAGTCTGCATGCAGAATCCTCTCTCTGTAAGTTCTGTTTACAAGTGTAAGATAGATGGATTTCTGTATTTTTTTTTTATAAATATAGTTGTATGTGAGTAGACGGGTCAATCGGATCCTGTTCACTGTTGTCTGATCTGTAACAAACCATTCAAGCATTCCAAACCTCTGAATTTAACATGTCCATTTTCATTAATGCAACATATAGAATGTATATATATATCTATCGACGACTTCGTGATAAAACAATAACAGTGTGAATGCAATGTTGACCAATAGAAATATATCTATATGGAAATGTTATAATGAAAAAGTTGTTTTAATGTTGAAAAAAAACCTCGTCTGGTTGTGTATGTACAAGAGACTGTTGGTTTTGAATGTTCTTGTGCTGTTTTTGTGACTATTAAAGTGAATATCTTCTACTACAGTCTTGTGCGCTAATTGTAATTACAGAAATGCTGCACTTTTTTGTAATTGTAAATGCCATTTTTTTATCCGGTATAAAATCTTTATTATGTCATATGCAGAAAGAAAAAAACTGATTCATATGGGGAAAAAAATAAATATACACATACTAGACAACGTTCGTTTTCAGTAGTTGGTGTACAGTAAGCATTTCAAGAATACAGTGTCAAAATGAAGCTGAAGATCCAGTTATTATAGAGTTAATCTCACGAAAACCTGTCAGGAATGTGCTGTATTTCACCTAAACATTATAAGGAATTACTGTTAATTTTTTTATTATTTTTGATAGGTCAAATTCTTAAAATTTCTCCTTTTTTCATTAATTTTGGGGCAAAATATGAAATATGCATGTTCACATTTTTCAAAGTTTTTTTTCCCTTTTAATTTTGGCACAAAGTATGAAATATGCAAGCACATGTTCAGAATCTTCAAATTTTGGAGCAAAATATGAAATATAAAATAACGTTCAAATTCTTTGTTTTACATTTTGGGGCAAAATTTTAAATATACAAACACATTCTAAACTTTTACATTTCTTAAATTTTTTTTTTTAATTTTGGGGCAAAATATGAAATATGCATGTTCACATTTTTCAACGTTTTTTTTCCCCTTTTAATTTTGCCGCAAAGTATGAAATATGCAAACACATTAAAATTCTTCAAATTTCTTTTTCAATTTTGGGGCGAAATACGAAATATACAAGCACATGTTCAGATTCTTCAATTTTCTTACATTTTTTCTATTAATTTTGGGGCAAAATTGTAAATATGCAAGCACATGTTCACATTTTTTTAATTTCTTTTTTTTTTTCTTTTAATTTTGGAGCAAAATATGAAATATAAAAGAACGAAAATATCTTCATGGAACATAATCTTTACTTAATATCCTAATGATTTTTGGCATAAAAGAAAAATCAATAATTTAATTATTGATTTGTTATTACTTTTTTTCTCTTTAATTTTGATGCAGAGTATTAAATATACAAGCATGTTCAAATTCTTCACATTTCTTACATTTTTTTAATTTTGGGGTGAGATATGAAATATACAAGCACACATTCTTGAGATTCACCATAAAGTTGTTTGCTAAATTGTACATAAATAGTTGAGCTTTTATAATTTACATTCAAATAGTTTAATGTAGCTGTTTAAATGTTTCTTGTAAACTGTTTTTGGCTTCATGTGTGGTGTGGCTTCGTCGCGGGATGCTATGAGCTGTGTGTGTTTCACAGAGAGATGTCAGACGACACGGGAAGCTGCTGAGCTGGTTTCCATTTGGCGCTTCGTCTTCCTCCGTCTGCTCTGATGTACGGCTGCTTCCTCAAGTCTACACACACACAAAACAGTACCCCCCCCTGATGAAGATATCGGAAGATTTTTGAGCTTTTCAAAAACTTGAAAGAAAGGGAAACATCAGAGATCTACACGGAGGAACTGAGGGAGGCACTGAGTGTTACAGAAGAGCATAAGTAGATGAAGAGCGATACCTTCAGAGACAGAAGAGAGGAAATGAGAGAGAGTTATAAAGCAGAAGTCCCATCACAGAAACCCGACTCACAGAGCAGACGAGACGAGCGCTTCCCAGAACGAGCCGTAAACGGCACGGCCTGCAGAGCTGAGAACCAGACAGACAGAGCGTGCAGAGAGAAACGTCACGGGAAACAAGACAGGCAGAATAAATACACAATATAGAACGTCAGAATGATTGAAGAAAGAATTAGAAAAGGCAAATAACTAGGAGGAACGAAGAACACTAGGAGTGTTCTGGCCCAATTGAATTTTATATCAATATACAGTTAGGCAAATGGACTATAAACAAATTTCAATGTATATATATGAATATTATATTTTTACATGTCTAATATTTGTAGAAATATTTCTGATATTTTTACAGTATAAATGGGTCCATGCAAAATAAAATAAATACAGTATATTTTTATATTTATACTTAATAAATACTATATATTTACATTTATAATGTTTAAAAAATATAAATGGGTCTTTATACAAACATTAAAATGAATACATTTCAATATATTGATTATAAATACCATATTTACTTTTAGATTTAAACTATAATATAAATGAATCTATACAAATGTTTATTATGTAAATATATTTCAACATATAATTTATAAAAACTACATTTGCATTATTTATTTGTATAGTATAAATGGGTAGTATAAATAGTATAAATAATTTTTCAATATATTTATATTACATATTATGTATAACTAGACATTTATACTATAAATAGTCATTATTATAAATCTGTATAAAATATTAGCATCTTTTTCTACTCACCATTCGAGTACTGTACATAAAACTATGGCAGTCAATAGAATAAAATAATTCTCATAATTTCTGACCATTCTTTATGAATGTCAGAATGTGCAAAATTTGCACCATTTATAATACAACCCCTAACAATGGTACAATCACATACTGATTATAATATTCAAAGTTAGGGCATTGGTTTTCTGTCTGTAAGTCTAGCTCAGCCTGACCTGTGATGATGTCCTCGATGGCTCCGTCTTTGCCCTCTCTCACGAGCGGCGTCATCTGCCTGCGCTTCAGCTCTGCGATCAGATCCACCTGAGGGAAGCGTGGCAGCGCCGGCATCTGAACACATCAACAAACCTGTGAGACCTAACCCTAACCCTAACTGTTCTCTGGGATTTCTGTCTCTGTCTGTCGCACGTTACCCTATTAGTCACTGCAGTGTTCACAGGAGAGTCAGAGATGTGTAAATCTGTGCCGAAATCAGTCTCGGAGATGTTCTTCTTGCGCTGGTCCTTCTCCTGTTCGGCCAGCTACAGAGAAAGAGAGACTCATCCATCAGTCAGCATGCTGGAAGAACGACTGGAAAACAAGTCACATACTGTCTATATACTAGATCAGGAGAAAAGGATTGGTGTTAGAAATAGTATGCTAGAGGTGGGATCTTCACGTGGGTTTTTGAAGTAACTATTGTTGAAATAACCTCTATAACAGGGGTGCCCAAACTCGGTCCTGGAGGGCCGGTGTCCTGCAGAGTTTAGCTCCAACTTGCCTCAACACACCTGACTGGAAGTTTCTATGCTTAGTAAGAGCTTGATTAGCTGCTTCAGGTGTGTTTAATTAGGGTTGGAGCTAAACTCTGCAGGACACTGGCCCTGCAGGACCGAGTTTGGACAGCCCTGCTCTATAAGATATTGTAGTATTATTTATATATACTTATAGTATTATTAAGCTTTTTCAGTTTTCATTTAAATTTTTGAAGTTGTCTTTATCGGTTTTTGTCATTTTTCTTCTTTTAGAATTTATTTGGAATTTATGATTTGTTTATTTATAATTTTTTTTAAATGTATGTTTATTGTAGTTTTAGTAATTGTATTACTTAAAACTGATTTATTTCAGTTAGTTACCAAAAGCAGCATTTGTAATTCTCAAATTTTGTTTTTGATTTTATTTTGAAGTTTTAGTCATTTTCTTACATATTCTTGTTCTTATGTATTCTTTATTTAGTCATTATTAGTAGTTCTGTCAGGACCACTATCGTCAAAATTATAGATACTTAGCATAACGTTTGGTTTGGCGGTATGGTTCTGTTCTGGGCAAAAAACTCCCTGCCCATCCATGCAGCCTGTCATGAATGAGCAGGGAGAGCAGCAATAATAACCCCCCTAGGGTTAACAGAACAGAACAAGGCAGATATCATTAATGTACTTGATATTTAAGTGTAACACTTTATTCAAGATAAAGGAGTCTGATTAGCAAGGAATATCAGAAAGCCAAGTCCTGACTGTGGCGAAAGGAGGAGCTGGGGATGGAGGAGGGTATAATTTGCTCCTGAGCAAGCGGAAAAGCTGCTGAATAATACTGAATAGAGCTTATATAGGAATGCAGCGATAGGTGTAATATTCCTATAGGTAGATGTGATCAGCTCATGCAAGCTTGACTCACGTGACCTGCCAGAACTAACGCTAATGCTTAATTAGTAGTAGCAGTATTTAAATATTTATCATTTGTTTTCATTTTTTATTTTAGTTTAGTAATTTTAGTACTTTATTTCAGTTAGTTGCCAAAGCAACATTTCTAATTTTCAGGTTTTTAAATCTACTATTTATCATTTATTTTATTTCAGCTTTATTATGAGTACTGAAAACAATTTTAATAGGTTTTTTTAGATAACAATAACAACCCTGGCTTATGTTGTGCTAAATATACTCAGATTATATATACTGTATATATATATATATATACAGATTTTAAATTAAGACTATTAATTTGTATATTGTCAAAACCAGTCATTTTAAACCAGAACCAGTACAATTAAAATAATACTCATATGTCATATGGAGGTTTTGAAACAAACAGAACTAATTTATCAGATCATTTCATGTAGGGTTAATGCACTGTCATAAATAAATAAATAGATTGTAAATAAAACAAAAATTATGGAGTACATTTTGAAATACCATTCAGACTTAAATTGAGGGTGTTACTTGCCATTTCTTTGTAATTATTTGTGAAATGTATTAGCAATTTCTGAGTGAAACTTGGTGCAAAATAATTTCTACACCTAATTTTTTTTTCTGCGTGTCTTTGTGATTTTAATCTCTCATTACCAGTATGATATATGCTGATGTGAAATAAGCACTGTGTAATAATTTCATCACCTTATATGCTTTGATAAACCTAGCAAAAACAGGGAAGAACACAGAAGGAGGTGTGGATTTGGGATCCTCTCCGAAATACTCCACCACTGAGTGATAGACCTCCTGTAGAGACACACAGACGATCCAGTCATGTAGAAGCTATTATTCACTGCTGTTCAGAAAAGATTTCACACAGAACTGAACTCATCTCCACCTCTGCAGTTTTGCTGTCTTTGACCACAGAGTCCAGCAGACTGCCGTTTTTGGACATGAAGTTTGTGAGGACAGCGCTGTCTTTCTGCTGGAGATATTCCTTACGAACCACCTCCATTCCCTTCTCCAGAGAGCGAACATCTGCAAGGATGCTGTCCAGAGAGACTGAGAGAAACATGCAGGTTAGTGTATACATATACAGCTTTCATTATTTCTATATTATTATTATAAAAATAATTATTTAAATTGTTTTAAATTAAAATAAAAGTTACAAATATAATAAATTAAAATATATTACACTTTTAAAAAATATTTTAGATTAAAATATTTTAGAAATAATAAAAAAATAATACACACTTAGAGTTGTAGTGGTGAGTTGATGTGAATGTGTTCATGTGCAACGCTCACCCAGAGCAGCTTTATCCAGACAGTGTAGTTCAGTGTGAAAGTTGTGCAGTTGAGGATATTTTTCTTGTATGATGCTGACGATGAAATGCAGGAGTGTCAGTTTTCGATCTGTGGATTTCATGTCCAGAAGCTGAGAGCCAAAATGTGAGAGATGCGTGATAAATTGACAACTCGTTTATCATGAACTGATCAGATTTAATGCAATGTAAGTCACTTTGGATAAAAGTTTCTGCCAAATGCATAAATGTAAATATTTTATGTGTATTTCATGTGTAAGTCAAATATGCTATTTAATTTAATTGAATAAGCTTACATGACATACATGATAAAAAAAATACAATTAAACAAAAGCAAATGAGACATGCATTTATTTTAACCTACATATATATATATATATATATACACACACACACACAGTATATTTATGACACAAAATTAGCTAAAATGACACTAAAAATGATTTTTCTAAGTTGTAAATAAAGATTATTGCACAATTTTTTTGTTGCAAGAAAATACTATTTCAGGGTTTTTTTTACTTCAAAATATTAAAAATATTTGTTATTTGTAAAATGTACTACGATTTTCTGAGTGAAAACTGTTTCATAGCAAATCCTACTACATTTCTTTTTCAGTGTATATACACAATGTGACTCATCTATTGAAAAGATAGATATTGGAAGTGACACTGATCAACTAAAACTGTAAATCTGCTTTATATGCCAAAATCTCATTTTGGTAAAGATGTTTTGTCTCACCAGGTCCAGACTTTGGAGTCGAAATCCATATGCTGATCCTCTCTTCCCACTGTTCATGTAATTCCCAAACGCAAGAATGATCTAGAAAAAAAAAAAAGATCAGCTTTCACTGCAGAAATGATTTTATGCCGATGAAAATGAATTCTCCTTACCTCTAGAATCTTCTTGAGTTTGCTGGAGGATTTGATTGACATGGATGAAGCGATGATGGCATTTAATTGCTGTAAAATAAGACCAGGATATTTTTTTTTTTGGATTTAAATTTTATGTTAAATTCAAGTATGCATCCTCCTAATATCATAGTCCCTTTCAAGGAAAGTCTGTTCACCAAGTCCTATCTAAATGAATGGGGTTATCCTGAAATCTCACAATTAAATTATATATTTCAAATCAGCAACAAAATACGAAATTAACTGCCCCATGAATGTTATCCCTTATGCTTAAATAGCATTAAAAATGCTTATTTTGTTCAAACTAGACCGAGCTTCAAACAGCAGCTCCGGTGATGCAATGACTTTACCAATCAGCGATTGGCTGTTTAATTCAGAAGGCGGGTGCTTTGCAGTTTCTCCCGTTCATAAGTAATAGGACTGAAGCGTCTTTGCTAATATATTTACTGACAGGCTTTAATAGCAGGATGCTCTCGCTGAAGTTGCCCATGAAGGTCAGCGTGCTGATTCTCTGTGCCAGACGCGGGGTTTTGCTGAAGGCCATCATGAATCGGTCCTCCTCCGACAGCTCCAGCAGGGGGCGTCCTTCATGCTCGTATTTCTCAATCAACCTCAGCTCATAATCAGACGGGATGAAACGCTCCAGCAGCTCCAGAAAGTCTGAGTTTAGCAAATCCAGATTATACCTGCACACAGAGAGCTTTGGGATTAGTTTGAAACATGCAAATTTTGGTTGCATCAAAATTGTGTCTGTGGTACGCACGATTGGATCGCAGTGCAGATCTGCGCGGTGCTCATGCCTCCTTTGCGCAGCGTGATGGCGAGGTTTTTGGCCCTGTTGGGCTCCAGTAGTGCGATTTTACTGGATGCTTTATGAGCCACTTTCACCTTCAGAGTGCCGACATCAACAGGAGCAGACTGAGCTTTAGTTTTGAACAACTCCTCAAAGACGTCCATATTCAACTCCTTCAGACAGAGTAAAGACAGGGAGATGAGTGACAGCAGCTTTAGTTTCTCAAATAAACTCTGATGATCAATGTTGAGCTAATTCCAACCACTTAAGATTATTCCTAAAACATTTAGCTTTTTCTTTTTTTTTTACATTAAAATAGCATGTATATATGTTTAAAACAAGAATTGTATTTTTCTTTTAAATATTGTATATATACATATTTTATAAATTATTAACAAATATAGAAATGTATTTTAGTAATGTAAATTATGTGAAAAATAATGCGTTTTTCAAACCACCAAGTATGAGAGCATGTTCTAGTACACCCCCAAAACATAATCAAGACTTTGTAAAAGAGCAGAATAGGACCCCTTTAAAATAACATTTATAACAAAAAAAATTATAGAATATTTTCTATATAAATACCTATTTTATAAATAATTCAAAAATATATTTAAAGAAAAAAACTACAAATGTTTCTAACAACTCTATTTTTAGGTGGGCCTGTTTAATATGCTTAAATAAAAAAATTAATAAAATGTATAAATATTAAAAACAAAAATTCTATTCATTTTTAAACAGTTTATATAAAAAATATTTTATAAATAATTAAACAATATATTTCAAGAAGCAAAAAGCACAAAGCAGCAAAGGTTTATATATAATAGGTAATAATCTTCAGGTGCCTCTATTTCATACATTTCAACAAGTCGAGTTAAAACACACACAGAACTGACCCCAAGCACACTTTCGTCATCCAGCTCTGTGAAGACGGTGCCGGCCACCTGTTCCTCCATTAGAGCCTGCCAGTTAAGCAGTGGCATGCGATACTTGGTCTTGATTGGCTTCTTACCTTTCACACCTTACACACACACACACACACACACACACAGAGAGGGAAGAAACACAAGCAAATTTTTCAGTGTAATGTGCACAGCTTCACTTTTCATTCAAAATCATTCCAACATCTTATAGTTTTGTTGTACAGTACATGACTGTCATCATTTCTCTCACCTGTCTTTACAGTTCCTGTCCTTCCAGGCACAGGTGAAGGGGGCGGGGCTACACTCATAGGGGGCGGAGGAGGAGGTGGTGGAGGGGCGGGGACAGGAGGAGGGGGCGGGGACTGCATCACAGGTGAGGCCTTTATTTCTGTTGTACTATTATCTTGGAGTTAAAAGAGAAGATAATTTTTTTTTAAATTAGCAGAAAGATAGTATTCATGGAAATAAAATATTCATATTAGCATATATTACATTGCTAGAAGTTTACAAAATAAATAAGATTTTATAATAATCTATAAAATTGTACAGAGAAGTGGTTGTTCACTTGTTTTGCTTCAGGACCCATATTATATTATATAATATATAACTGTATAAAATGCATTAATTAGGTTAACTTTTGTCTAACTGTATTTTAGTATAACTACTATTATAGGTTTTGTTAATATTTTGAATTAGTTTTGATTTTTACATTTTCTGTTTTAATTTTAATTTTAGTTTAAAAATGTTTTTAGTAAAAAAAAGTTGTTAGTTAGCTTTTGTAATTTTATTGTGTTTTTGTCATTTTTATTGGTTGTTTTTTTTATTCTTTATGGTAATTTTTATTTCAGTTTTAGTTATTTTAATACATCAAGTTAAACTAAATGAAAATGAGAAATGTTAAAGCGGAAATAAAATGTTTACATTTTTTTACATTACAAACGGTTTAAATGTATACATCGCAAATTCTTTTTTTATTATTTATTTATATTTGTTTTATTGTATTGCTTTAGTTTTAGTTAACGATAATAACCCTGTTTGGAAAGATTAAAGAACATTTCTTTAACACTATACAAAAGTGTATAGAACATTTTTATAAATAAAAAAGTATCATTAGAATTCTATAGAAATGATAAAGAAATTGATGCAAGTAATGATGTAATTGTAACAGTGGCTATATGTATTTTTGGATCTTCACCTGTTGTGTTAGCGGCTGGCATAATGTGTAATTCCAGAGAGCCGGATTCGGATCTGTCCATGCGGATCAGACCTCGATCCACCAGAACCTGGACCATCTTCTCCAGCTCGGTCAGAGCTTTAGCGGAGCGCTGTCTGTCTCTCTCTCGCTCCTGCTCTTTCTCACTGTGTGTCTCTCTCTCTTTCTCCTTCTGCTGCAGCTGAGAGAGCTGAGCCTGTGTCTCCTTCACACTGTCCTGGAAACACGCATTAAAAAGCTTCACAGCCTGGAAACAGGAGTAAAAGTAAGTGTGTGTGTGTGTGTTTTAGCAAAGTGTGTTACCTTCAGAAGTTCCACCTCTTTCCTACTCTGTATGAGTTGTTTCTCGAGTTCGGACGTCTTCTCCACAGCTTCACTCTCACACTGCTGCAGTCTAGTGTTTAACTGATATACACAACATACACTGAATGCTTTAATATGATTTAGTGTGTATATTTATTCATTTACATAAATGAATATGATGTGCAATATGTGGCATTAAACCAAAATAGAATGAAACCAAAGTGCTGTACAGGATAGATAGCTAGATAGATAGATAGATAGATTATTCTTTTATTATTATATATAATGCATATTGTTTTTATTGTTGTAGTCAAACAGCAGATACTGTATATATGTACTTGAAAACATTTATATCAGAACTATATTAGGACAGATTTCTATTAATATAGGTTGCAGTAACTGTGTGTGTTTTGGGTGTGTGTACCTGTGTGTTTTGTTCTTGTAGCTCCTCTAGATGTTCCATTATTGTGTTTTTGGCCTCGGCGTCCTCTAGCATCGCTCCAACATCAAACACATTATCCAGATACGCTTGAATCTGCACCTGCAGCCTCTCGCTCTCAGTGACAGTTAACTCCTACACACACAAAACCATTCAGACTGCATTTTAGGCTGCATTTATTTGATCAAATACACGGTAAAAACGAAGATTGTGAAACATTCTTAAAATTTAAATAAACTGTTCTCGATGTGAATATATTGCAAAATGTAATTTATTCCTGTGATCAAAGCTGAGTTTTCAGCATCATTACTCCAGTCTTCAGTGTCACATGATCCTCAGAAATCATTCTAATATGCTGATTTGCTGCTCAACAAACATTTCTGATTATTATCAATGTTGAAAACAGTTGTGCTGCTTCATATTTTTTCTGGAAACTATGATACATTTTTTAGGACACTCTGATGACTAGACTGTTCAAAAGAACAGCATTTATTTGAAATAGAAATCTTTTGTAACATTATAAATGTCTTTAGTGTCACTTTTGATCAATTTAATGCATCCTTGCTGAATAAAAGTATGAATGTCTTTCATTCTTTCAAAACAAAAAGGCAAAACATTAAACAGTAGTCGCTCACCTCCAGATAGCCGTCTAGTCCTAGTTGTGTAAACTCATGCTGTAAATACACTCGGAAGTTCATGTTCTCCACTGAGTGCACTACAATGTTGATAAACTGCATACAAGCCACCTAGAGGTGATCAGGGGAAAATATATTGATCAGTTTTCCTCACACTCATGATCCTACATTAAAAGGTCAATAACAACAGGATAAATGTCCTTAATCTATGTCTGGAATTCCAATGCATTATGTATGTTATGCACGCGATATGGTGAATTTGTGAGTGAATATTTTAATTATATGATTATTAATACGTATATACTTTCTGCTTGTCCTAAAGTGGAAAAGTTCTCAAGAATGACTGATAAATTAAGTCGATGTACAAATGGGCCATAAATATAGATGTCTGTCATGCTCTTTCGTCCTTTTAGTTGAGCTAAATACTGTACAATCAGTGTAATAATCTGATAAAACATGAACATTAATACATATGAAGCATTTTATATGTCCTCACCATGAAATCAATGTTGTTGTCATCATTTCTGAAATACTCCATGAGTTTCTCGAATCTGTTTTTCTCTCCACACACCTGCATGAACATACAGACACATTCACAGGTTCCTCAGAGACGACTGTTTACTGTATTTGAGTTTACTGTACGCTGCCTCTTACCAAGTACTTGACCATAAAGTAAGAACATTTTACTACATTTCGAGACCTTCAGTGATATTTGATGTCACAGGATCATTTATCATCTGAAAATATGTTATTGGCTTAATATTCCATCCGATATCTAATTATTAGTTCTTGCTACAGGAAGGCCGTGTTACATTTCAATGCAAAGTATGTGGATTCACAGAAACAATGAGGACATAAGGATGTGAAATCCCTAAGCAGAGAAGGTCTATTTGTTTCGGTTTTAGCTCTAGTTTGCGTAGTCCTTTCTGCTGTCACTGATATGCATCTGAATCATCTCCCACACAAAAATGTCTTTGTGACAATAAACGCACAGTCCTTCAAAATGACGTCTGTGTGAATGTATGAGGTTGCGAGCTGTGTATGATCTAGTTTTGTCATGTGCAGACGGGTGTAACGGCTGATATCACAGTTACTTGAGTTTAACAGCAGATCAGACACTTGTATCTCATCACGTGTGTCTGCGTTCATTCAGCATCTGAGAGAATAACTAAAGAGTTTGGGTTAGGTCTTTTATCCTTGAAATTAAACTATTAGACATTTTCTGATGAAATGTAAATATTTTTCACATATTATATTACAATATGATTACTCATGTATGTGGTCCTAAAAAGTATTTGGAGAGTTAAGCCATACTTAAAAATGTATGAATGAATGAAGTTTTTCTTTTCTTTTTTAAGAATTAAGAAATTTATTTGGATTTATTATGTCTGATTATATTATGTCTTGGTATATTATATCTGATTATATTTTATTACTTAACTTTTGTCTTTTTTATTATTTTTATAATACATATTTAGTATTGTACATTTTTTATTATTGATTATTATTGTTATATTTATTATTATATGTTTAGGTATATTGTATTTGATTACATTTTGTTAAAACAAACTTTATTATTATTTTAAAAATTATTATTATTATTGATATTTCATCATATTTTATTACACACAACTTTTTATTTTTATTATTTTTGACATTTAATATTATAATATTTTTTTCCTTTTTTAATTATGTTTTCCTTTTTTCATATTATAGTATTTTTTTATTACAGGTGCATCTCAATAAATTAGAATGTTGTGGAAAAGTTCATTTATTTCAGTAATTCAACTACATTACGATTTGGTATATTTGATTAAATTTGGTAATATATATTTAATATTGTATATATAATTATATATATAATTATATATTAATTATATATATATAATATATATTTAATATTGCAATATTTGTCTTTTTATTCTTTTTAGAACATTTTTGATTTCACTATGTTTTGGTATATTTTACTTATTTATTTTTTGATTAAGATATATTTCTTGTTGTTGTTTTTTCTCCCCACAGAGTTGAATTGTACACAATAAGACCAAGGAGACACATTGAAGTTGGAGAGATGATGATGATAAGAAGAGTGAGATGGATGAACAGAGAAAGAAGGCTAGTCTTTTCTTACCTCTTTGAAATTATTAAAGGCTGCAATAATCATTTCGTGACCTCCTCGAACCAAACAGACAGCAGCAAGGAGCTCCAGAACCAGAGCTTTAGTCCTAAACATGAACACACACGTATGGAAGTACAATATTGTAGAAACAAAACATTCAAAGCACACACACACACACACACACACACACACACACACACACACACACACACACACACAGGAGTGTTATTAAATATGCATTGTATTTCTTTGCTACTAGCAGCATAGAATGGAATTGTAAAATGAGTGGCAGTCCCTTGTAGTCTGATTGCTATTGTTTGTGAAACTATTTTTAACTTGACAAGCTTTCTAAAAAAATATGGATGCAACAAGATGTTAAAAATGTGAAGGGTGTTTCCTAAATTAAAGTCAATGATTTTTTTAAATACATTTATTTTTAGAATTATTTTTAGCACCAGTTCTCTGTTGATTTATTTGTACTAAAATTACCAGCATGCACATCCCTAGATGCATTTCATGTAGGTTTTTTCTGCTGCACCAAAATTTAGAGAGCTATTTTAGATATTTTACAGAGACTGTTTTCTCACCTGGCATTCTTGTTGTTGAGACTCAGGGTGATTTCATTGACACAGTTGGGATGTGCCATCACCTGATTAAACCCTAACTAACACACACACACACGCACACACACACACACACACATTAGTCAAGTAAAGAGATGAGACGAGACGAGATTAGAGGAGCAAGAGATGAGAAGTACCTGGTAGTTCATGATGGCACGGAGGCACATGATGCAGAGGTGCAGGTGGTTCTTCTGGCTGAGCAGACGCGAATATCTCAAAGCTTTCCTGAGCAAAATAAGTCATATTTATAAATATTTGTATTCAATATTAATTTTTTAAATATTATATTTTTTCTTTTTTTATATAATTAGTTTTTTATTTTATTATTTTATTTGGGATTATGTTTTATTTAAATATTTTTACATCTTTTTAGTATTTTTATTTATTTACTAATATACATCATATTTTTCTTTTTGTATATATTTTTTTCTTTTTATTGTTATATTTGATTATATTATGTAAAGATAGATCATGTGAAACCTGCTCACACGTTCATTGCGATATAGATATTTATGTTTACATATACAGTAAATTCTGTATGAAGAAATAGATGATTTGGTTCAAATAGGAAAAAAGTCAATATTTTATAGATAAACGAATTAATTAAAAGCAGAATTGTGTAATCTGCAACATCTGGAAACCTCAAAATCGTTAATAGTAAAAGTACTGTATGTGACAGAGACGCACACAAACAAACAAACTCTGTAACAGGAATGCAGTTGATCCTGATAGAAGTGATTGGATGGGTGTGCTTGTGTGTGTTTGATCACGTGTTTTGACCTCAAAATACATTGCAGACATGTTTGATGTTACAGTGATAGTGTTTCGCACGTGTGCATGGGTCTGTGAATGTATGTTTCTTTTTGTAGACTTTTTTGTCAGTGTGTGTGAAGCTGGAAATAGTAATGTAGAAGTTATGTTCAATATACAATTATTTGCGAATGATACGGAAATCATTTCAGAGTGGTTTATACTCTATAACTGACCTTGTGGTGAAGGGGCGACCTGAGCGTGGGGAATTGTGGGTAGGGGAGTTTGTCGCACTGGTGGTCAAATCTTCCACAGATTTCTCTTCAAAGCTTCCATTATCAGAGCTGTCCATTTCATATCTGTAAAACACAGTAAGCGTCTGTCTTATGATTCCATGATAATTAAACAGCTGTTTTCAACACTGATAATAATAAGAAATGAGCTACAAATCAGCATATTAGAATGATTTCTGAAGGATCGTGTGACTCTGAAGATTGCATCACAGGAATAAATGACATTTTAAAATATATTCAAATAGACAACAGATTTTTTTTTTCAATTGTTTTTTTACTGTATTTTTGAACAAATAAATACAGCCTTGGTGATACAATTCTACTAAAATCATCAAAAAGTAGTTTGACCGCCATATAGTGTTGCTTTGTTGTTGCTCAGGCTGATGAATATAATAGCAGTGTTAGCTAACTGGCATCAGAGGACTGGTTTCAGACATTGGATGGTCAGAACATGTTCTCTTCCCAGACGCCTTGTCACATTAAAAATTTAGGTTCCTCTATTGTGTCTTGGACAATGTGTGTGTGTGTGTGTGTGTACATACGTGACTGCACGTTGAGCAAAAGAGAGGTAGTCCACTAGCACGTCTAAACCCTTGTTTTCTACATTTAGAAACTCCTCAGCCCACCTGAACAGCCAGGGAGAACAATACAATGAAGAACAAAAGGAGCACAATTGAGATCAATTATGAGTGACAAAGTAATTACAGTCCAGTGTCGACACAGATATTTCCAGACTTCCAGGTTTCAGAAACCTGCATTTAAAGGAATAGTTCACCCAAAAATGAAAATTAGCTGAAAATGTACTCACCATTTACTCAGGTCTTCCAAGATGTAGATGAGTTTGTTTCATCATGGGAACAAATTTGGAGAATGTAATGTTGGAGAAATTAAAATTACATCACTTGCTCACCAATGGATCCTCTGTCGTGAATGGGTACCATCGGAATGAGTGTCTATAATCCATAATAATCCATACTGCATTGAAAAAGTACATCCTTTCCCATCAAAATCCACCAACATATTTGTTTTATACTGTTTTCACTTGTAAATGATGCTCAGTGATTTGTGCATTCGGTAATCTGTACATATTTCTCTTCTGATTCAGACAAGGCTGTTTTAGGCAGACACAATGGATGGAGAAAGCAATATTATGGATAGAGGACTCTTATTTTAGCCAGAAACAGTGGTTTGAAGTAAAAAAACTTCTTAATGACAGATTTGGCATGTGGGTTATTTGGGGAATTTTATCAGCTGTTTGGACTCTCATTCTGACGGCACCCATTCACTGCAGAAGATCCGTTGGTGAGCAAGTGACGTATTGCTACATTTCTCCAAATCTGATGAAGAAACAAATGCATCTACATCTTGGCTGGCCTGAGGGTAAGTACATTTTCAGCAAATTGGGGTGAACTATTCCTTTAACGTGATAAACTTTAAGTTTAAAAAAGTCTATTCATGTATTTTGTAATCAGGCCAGTAACATGCATTGTCATGTGAGGGCTCTTACCCGATGTGATTGGTGCGCAAAGAGATCTCCAACTCTCTTAGAACTTGTGTGGATTCTTGGACTCGCCTTTTAAACTACAAATCACACACACATATAATTTTATGAATTAAAATAATTTACATATTTCAGTTTAATAATAACTAGACAAGCTCTGTATCTCACTCTCAGATTTAAACACACACAAACATATATCTGTACCTTTCTGCCTCCTCCCTGCTCTAATACACTCTTAAGTTTCTGAATGTATGCTGACGGAGGATTCTTCACCTGGAACCGTTCCTGATGAGAGAAACCAGAAGGAATAGTAATCTCAGCTTTAAAGAGGATTTTTTCCCTGCACTTTTTTCAAACCACATATACAATTAGTCACATTTCTTGTATCAGAAGCAGTTTAAATAATTTTTTTCATAAACATTTTCCACCCTCATGATCTTTAATGTTTCTGTACCTTTAAGACGTTGATGTGTAAATGCTATGATTGCCAGCCACTTGCTGAATATTTATTTATTTATGTGGTCATATGGTGGTGATGTGATATCATTTCAATAAATGCTCTGGGTGAACTGGAGAGAAAGGTTTTTTTTTTTTTTTTTAGTTTTTAAGGAGCAAGGACAATTGTGTTTTTCATTATATGTCCCCTTTAATGGTGTGATATGTGGTTTAGGGTAGTAAAAACAGCTTTATGGTAAATGAAAATGTGTAAAAGGTAAATGTTTTTATGTTTTTGCCCTGAACTCACCTGGTCACACACTAACTCCCATTTCTTCTCGTTGTCGTACTGACAGAGCAGCTTCACTTTGTCAGGTGGAAGATTCATGGAATTCTACAATCACAGAGCAAGAGACAAATCAACATCAACCTTTTTGTAAATCTGAATTCATTTATATTAATTCTACAGAGTCATTAGTTCTATTGCATTGAGACAAACTCTTAAAAATGATTTTTACAGCACTTTTGGGCTCAGCAAAGAACTTTATTGCGAAGCATTATTCATGGTTGAGTTTTTTAGAGAGTAAGAGTTTGGAGTGTTTTTGAAAGAACGCTGCATTTATTTGATCAAATATACAATAAAATTGTTAATATTTTTTTGTTAAAACTGAATCAAACATTAAATAGTTCATAAAACTGAACTGATTCTTTTTCTTAGAATTCTTTGACAAAAATAAAGCTCAAAAGAACAACATTTGAAAATTTTAAATAGAAAAATGTTCAATGTATCTGCTGTCACTTTTGATCAGTTTAACGTGTCAATACTAAAGAAAAGTATTAATTTCTATTCACAAAAAAAACAACAACAACGCCCTGCCAATCACCCATAGCACCCAAACATCTCAGTGGCAAGTTTTGCACAGTCCACATTTTCTTCCGATCTAGTTGTAATATGTTCCCAGACTATTGCTATGTTTAAATGCAGAGTTACTGTGGCACCAGTCACACGTTACACTTGTTTGCAGATGGTCACATATGAACTGAGTAAGCGGCTGTGTCTTGTGAGCCGGTTTACGAGCAGCGGACAGATCACATGTATAATGAGGTATGCTGACTCTAAGAATGCCCTTTCTGAACCGGCAGAATAGTGCTGTGTGAATGTCCTGTTGCTATGACGATCTCCTAAATTATTTATGAACAGCATGAGTGTTTGCATTTGTGTTACACACACACACACACACTGTTATGGCCCTACAGAATTACCTAATCAGTGACTCATCTGAGCATCGGATGATACTGAACACACAGTGTGTGCACGCTGCATGTAAATCCCCTAAAATGTTATGAAAATCATCTTCAAGGTCATCTTCCATTCTCATTTGCTTGCCGAGTTTGCATTTACTTGATCAAAAATACAGTAAACACAGTAATATTGTGAAATAAGTTTTCAATTTAAAAACTATATTTATAGCTTACACTATTCCTATGTCATTGGCTGGAACGACACTCTCGTGAACACGAGTACGACAGTTAGCGGAAGCTGGAGATTACGTTTATAAAGTTTTAAATAAAGATATTTTTCTTACACAAATGCATCTATTCGCTTCAGAAGGCCTTTATTAACCCCCCGGAGCTGTGTGGAGTATTTTTTATGATGGATGGATGCACTTTTTTTGGGCTTCAAAATCTCAACACCCATTCACTGCCATTATAAAGCTTGGAAGAGCCAGGATATTTTTTAATATAACTCTGATTGTATTCGTCTGAAAGAATAAAGTCATATACACCTAGGATGGCTTGAGGGTGAGTAAATCGTGGGGTAATTTTCATTTGTGTGTGAACTATCCCTTTAAGTTTAATACTTAGGAATATTGGTTTGTTCAAATCTCTGACTATGAGCAACATTAAGAAAACACCACTGATTAAATCATTCTTTTTTGGTTTGATCAGGTGTTGCTATTCCCTCAGAGGCATTTTGGGAAATTTCATCCTCATATTTCCACATGCCCTACTGTTTTTGTTGTTGTTTTTCTTTACTTAAAAAGTGGTTTTACTTTCTGCATACAGCTGGTGAGATCCTTTGACAGAATGAAACAGAATGTTTTGCTGTGAAAGATGACGGGAATTCTCAGTATTTGTTTTGTGTCTGATTCCTTGGCTGTATCTTTCAGCTGGTAGCTCAGGAATCTTATCATTTGTTTTGGGAACTTTGCAAAAGATCTCAACGATCTCTATACTAATATTTAGCCTTTCTATGACCCGCCTATGAGCCCCAGACTGACCAAAGACTCAAGAACTGTATACTAAAAAGCCAAAGCAAATACACTTAACAGTCTAAATACCTACAGTGGGTACGGAAAGTATTCAGACCCCCTTAAATTTTTCACTCTTTTTTATATTGCAGCCATTTGCTAAAATCATTTAAGTTAATTTTATTTTTTGGTTTGATCAGGTGTTGCTATTCCCTCGGAGGCATTTTGGGAAATTTCATCCTCATATTTCCACATGCCCTACTGTTTTTGTTGTTGTTTTTCTTTACTTAAAAAGTGGTTTTACTTTCTGCATACAGCTGGTGAGATCCTTTGACAGAATGAAACAGAATGTTTTGCTGTGAAAGATGATGGGAATTCTCAGTATTTGTTTTGTGTCTGATTCCTTGGCTGTATCTTTCAGCTGGTAGCTCAGGAATCTTATCATTTGTTTTGGGAACTTTGCAAAAGATCTCAACGATCTCTATACTAATATTTAGCCTTTCTATGACCCGCCTATGAGCCCCAGACTGACCAAAGACTCAAGAACTGTATACTAAAAAGCCAAAGCAAATACACTTAACAGTCTAAATACCTACAGTGGGTACGGAAAGTATTCAGACCCCCTTAAATTTTTCACTCTTTTTTATATTGCAGCCATTTGCTAAAAAAAATTTAAGGGGGTCTGAATACTTTCCGTACCCACTGTATATCTATACACGTCAGACCAATGAAATCATGTTTTCTGTGAAAAGTGAAAGGAAAACTTTTGTACCTCTTGTATGAAAATAATCGGCTGTTCTTCTGGACTTTCTATTCATCAAAGAATCTTGAATCCTCACAGTTTCCACAAAAATATGAAGCATTACAACTGTTTTCAACATTGATAATAAGAAATATTTCTTGAGCAGCAAATCAGCATATTAGAATGATTTCTGAAGGATCATGTGACACTGAAGACTGGAGTAATGATGCTGAAAATTCAGCTTTGATCACAGGAATAAATTACATTTTAAACTATATACAAATAGAAAACCGTTATTTTAAATAGTAATAATATTTCACAGTTGTACTATTTTATTGCATTTCTGATCAAATAAATGCAGCCTTGATTAGCAGAAAATAAACAAATATTTTAAATATTTAAAAAATCTTACCGACCCCAAACTTGTGAGCTGTTGAGTATGTGACATGTAAAAGTTACATCCAAAACATCATGTTTGACTATTGCTGTCATTTCATTTTTGCGCATATTAAATTACAGTTCTTCACTAAGTATGGCACATTAGCATGTCACAGTATCCTAATTTGCAAAACAGGTCAATGGAAGAAAAAACTGCAATCTGCAGAAATATTGCTTTAGGGCAAACACACACACACACACACACAGTCTCTCTCAAACAGTCTTCCTTTATGGAATACCTGCAGTGCAGACAACTCCATTGATTATAATTGTCAAGCTTATAATTGTCAGCTTGCATGTGTCGTGTAGACAGTGTTATCTTTGCATGTTTTAATTCAGATCTCATAGTTTCTTTTGTCTTTATAATAGCTGACCCTTTCTACCCGTGAAATAAGGACAAGGAGGCTGGAGAAAAATAGAATCAAGGACAAAACACTTCCGACTCTCGCTTTATTTTTCTCCCGTTTCTGAACACATCATCTGCCCTTTCTTTGTCCTTTCTATATGTTCTATCCTTGAAAACAGTTAAACAGTTTTCAGGACAAGGTCAGCTAACATAACTGCATCACATGTTATTTTGAATCCTCAAAATACTCTAAATGTTTATATGCAAATCTGTACACCAATAATTTATGCGTCAATGATCAATGCAGCATACTGTATACTGCAGTGCATGTGCAGAGTGTAATACACATGTTTATTCAGAGCCGTCATATCACTTTACCTTCAGCAGAATTATGCTAGAAGATTATACTGTTTTCAGCTTATCATATTTGCATGAGTTTTTTGTATATTTGTAAGCCGAATCAGGTACTTTTATAATCACCTCAAGGATTTTATAATATATTTAATTAATTAAAAAATGTTTATTATATTTTTAAGACACTTAAAAAAGGGTTATTAACTAAAACTGAAACTAAATTAAAACAATTAAAAAATTATTATTATTTATTTCAGCTGGTTGTCAAAGCCAACATTTCTCATATTATTTTAATTTAACCTGATGTACTAGAATGTCTAAACTTAAAATTGAAATAAAAATGAATAAAAACTATATATATATATATATAAAACTTTTAATGAAAATTAAAATATAAAAATGCATTTTTTTGAGTATGAGTTTTCTCATACTGTTGTTGTTTTCAACCATCAGCCTATTTTTTTATGACTAATTTCTGCAGTAATAATTATATTGAAATACATTTAGAGCTGACTTTGATTCATTGTATCTCATAGATTTTTGTCCTCAGTGTTTCTAGATCAGCTGAAGGCTGGACTACAGCTGAAGATGGATGGTTTGTCCTTTCGATAAGTGGCCACATGCAAAATATCAATAACTGAACGGGCCATTTGTATAATTACAGGCCTGTCGTTTTTGCAGATGTTTTGCGCTCCTCCCCTTGGCAAGGCTATGTAGAAAGCATCAGCTTGAGTGTTTTAAAAGCTATATAACACATGCATGTGCGAGCAAGGACAAAACTGTTGCTTTTATACACATAAATTCAGCCTCACAAAGAAAATAATGCAGAATTCTCTGTAAATGTGTATTTGCATGAGCGTGTGTGTGTATGCCCACTGTTATGCAAGACTTTTGTTTATTGCTTATCCAGTTTTTAATTGAATACTTGTAACTTTTACTAAACAAGCTCACAGGTAATTGCACTGAAGCTTTGCGATGTAATATTTACATTTTGTACCCGACTAGGTGTGTTTTTGAGTGATTGCTCTTTTAATTGTGTGTTTTATCACGAACATGCTGCTGGTGCTGCTTGCATTATTTGCATTCTATTTCCATTATACAAACAGCATGTCCCAAACACTCTTTCTCCGTAGGCATTGTAGATGCCTGCATGCGCACTTTAATACTTAGATGGCCTTTCACTGCTGTAAGATGGGAAAGTGTGGAGTGCTTATCTGATTTAGGAACAGCATTAAGGATATTGGCAGAGTAAATTAATTAACATGGAATAAATTTACCAACAAGCACTAGAGCCAGACTTATTTAAGTTATATAAAGAGTAAAACATTGGCTAAATATTAATTTTAAACACAGGTACTTGTGTAATGTGGACTGTTGGATTTGGTCTTTTTAGACTGAAAACCACCACTACTGTGAATCTGGTTCACAGTTTTTTTTAAATTAGACTAACTAGTTGATAAGTAGGTTGTTCCAGGCCTTAACTATAACCGGCCAGTAGGCCAATCATTTTTGTGCTGATATAATGTATTATTTATTGTGGTAAGGTGTGTGGAGTTATATAATCATAATACTTTTAACCGACATGTTTATTAAAACCCTTGCCATTTTTTTTTCCATACAGTAGGACACAAATGAAGATGTTAACGGCTAATATGTGATTCCACAATGACCACAACTGTCAAGAAGATTTTCAGTAAATAATGACTTAAATTTCTGTCTGCTCCTCACATATAGCTATTATATATTTGAAATATGGTGTGTGGAACTACTTTAAAGGTGAAAATTTAAATTGGCTGTAAATTTACTCACTCTTAGGCCATCCAAGATGTAGATGAATTTGTTTCTTCATCAGAATAGATTTGGTGAGATTTAACATTGCATCACTTGCTCACCAGTGGATCCTCTGCAGTGAATGGGTGCCGTCAGAATGAGTGTCCGAACAGCTAATAAAAACATCACAATAATCCACACCACTCCAGTCCATCAGTTAACATCTTGTGGTGTGAAAAGCTGCGTGTTTGTAACAAACAAACATATCATTTAAACATTTTTAACTTTAAACTGTTACTTTCAGCTAAAATATGAGTCCATAATAACACTTCCTCCAGTGAAAAAGTCCATCCCCTCTTGTCCTCTCCCATACAAACCCAACAACGTATTTGTCTAGATCTTTTTTGGACTGTTTCCTCCTGTAAACGGTGCTTGATCTCTGCATATTTCTCTCCTGATTCAGCTTTTCACTCCACATGATGTTAACTGATGGACTGGAGTGGTGTGGATTACTTGTGGATTATTGTGATGTGTTTATCAGCTGTTTGGACTCTCATTCTGACGGCACCCATTCACTGCAGAGCATCCATTGGTGAACAAGTGATCTGAACGAATCTGTTCAGATGAAGAAACAAACTCATCTACATCTTGGATGGCCTGAGGGTGAGTAAATTTTCCCAATATTTTCATCTTTGGGTGAAAGATTTCTTTTAAGATGCTTAGAGCAAGAAGGCTATACCAGTTAAGAATGGTGTAACGGTGAATAAATGACAGAATTGTAATCTTTGGATTAACTACCCATACTACTTTAAACTAAAAATGTATTAAGCAGCCAGTGCCACACACTCACATACTGTACACTCATCATAAATGAGATGCAGATGATACAAGTAGATAAAGCTCATGAAAAACACCTAATGATGCATTAAAGTCTCCCAGCTGCACAATTACAGCCTCGCTGATGCATAACACTCATACTCTGGGAGATTTGACAGATTTCACAAACATGCATATGAGTGCACTCACATTCCATCACAGTCTACAACCTAACGTGGTACAACTAGCTGTATTATATAATTCAGATGGTTGCTTTTGCATGCAAAGAGATGCATATCATGGTGCATATCAAACATATTTATAATTACTGCAGTGGAGCATCTCAGCTTCAACCACACATACAGTACTGTACTTGAACATGCTGTTTTTCTACATTCCAAATCAGCAAAACACTTAAAAAGTAAATGACATATTAGAGCTGAAACCCCTTTTAGTCTACTGCATTATGGGATATTTTGTCATGTACGTACCAACACCACGCTGAACCTCTCCTCTAATTCGTCCTCAGGTGGTAGGGGCAGTTTAGGGGCCGGTGGCTGTTTCTGCCCATAGGTGCTGAGGGGCCGTTTGGCGTCCCGTCCCGGTGACATCTCCAGACTTCCAGCTGCGTTCCCCATGGCTGTATGCAGAGTTACACGCAGAGGTACACATATACAGTCCAGATAATCTAGATGTTGCTCAGTGAAGTACAACTACAACTTTACACTTGCTGACTGATTCTAAAAACTTGAGTATGAGTTCTTGTTTAGTCCCAGCAGTTTAAATCCAATGGTGGGACACTTCGGAAACGCAGATAAAATCCAGCTTGGATACTATAGAAATTAGTACTATTAAATCCATAAAAGGTTGTGGTTTTTACATAGTTGCTGACTTGTTCAGGTTCTTTCAAGTCTTCTGATGGCGTTGTCCATTTGCAGTAGGCAAAACCTACAAGTTGTGTATACAGACAGAAAAATGACACCAGTAGGCGAGGCTGTTGTCTATTCGGATGTGTCTTAGTCGTCTTCTGGTCTCTGCGACATCTCTCTGCTCCATCCTGGAGTGTGTAGTTCAGGTAGGGAGGAGAGGAGTGAGTGATGTGGGAGAGTAGGCGGGGACTGGGAAGCTTCTGGGTCCTAGTGCTGGATCTGTAGTCTCTCATCTGTGTGTGTGTCTTATGAACACCTGATACTGACTCAGATGTCCACCTACAACCGGAGTCTCGAGTTACTTGTTGGTGTTTGTTGCTAGGATGCTAAAGACAACCAAATTACAGTGCACACACTATGAATGACTTCAGACTTGTGCAAATAGTTGTAACTGCGAATCTGTAGTGCCTCAAATACAAAACAAAAACAAATAATATATAAAAATAAATACATTTTTATATATTTATAATTAATTATAATAATTATAATTGTTTGGGGTTTATATGATTTTTTGTTTTATATTTATGAAACGATGAGTCCCTTATGCGCAACAAAAACATTAATATTGTGAAATATCATTACAATTTCAAATAACTTTTATATATATATATATATATATTAAAATGTAATTTATTCCTGATGTAAAGCTGAATTTTCAGCATCATTACTCCATACTTCAGTGTTAAATGATCCTTCGGAAATCTGCTGATTTGCTGATCCAAAAAAAACAAAAAAAAACTTTTTTTATTAATTTCAATGTTTGGAAACAGATGAGCTCCTTCATATTTTTGAGGAAGTTGTGTGATTATTTTTTGTGTGTGAGTGTGTCATAATGTCACTTTTGGTCAATTTGATGTGTCTGAAGAATAAATATTATTTTCGTAAAATATCATATATATTTGTAAGTCGCTTTGGACAAAAGCGTCTGCTAAATGACTAAATGTAAAACTTATATAATGTGTATAGAATTTTAAGAAACACATTTGATGGATTTACTAGAGAGTGCACTATAATTATGTCCCTGCAGTGTTCATTTGCAATGCAAATGGAGCCCTAGTAACCATAGTAGATGTAATAGCCTCAGCGAACACAGCTGTTCCTTTACACTGCGTCTAAGGATTCATACTAAATATGTTCATTTTTAACATATCCTTTTATTATGCTGTAGGGTGCTTTGAATAGAAGTCTTTGTTATACGACTACAGTAGGCTTACTTACTATAATATGTTTTATTATTCATCTTGTTGTTTAAAGATCAACCTAACATTTTATGAATGCTGAAATGCACACACAAATAGTTATTTCTTCAAAAAAAGATTAAAAGTTTAAAAGAGTAAAAAGGTTACACAGTAGCAGGGGGGTGCGATGGGTGCTTGAGCACCTGCCCCTTTTCCCCTTGATGCCCAAAGTGCCCTTTTGTCAAGGCAGTTTTTATTATTATTATTTTTTTGTAATTAAACATCATTTTGTGAAGGCGTACCCAATCTAACTATTAGTAAAATGAATTCATAATAATTTAGTCGTAAATAAAATTATCCACATGATGATGACCTTTCACTTGACGATCTCATCAGGGACTATCCCTCACGTTTAGACACCTTTAATGTAGGGCACTAGGATGCCTATATAACGTCCGTGGCTGCCGGTAAGTGGAGTTCTAATAAGATCTTCTGTCCTAATGTACCACTCACTGATGCCCCACTATGGAGAGTCCCTGAACCACTTATAGACTTGAGCTTACTAGACAAGCCCAAAGGTGAATACATTGGAAAGGAGGTTAATGCTATTCTAAATAATGCATTTTATTCAACATTACAAATATTTACGGATGGATCTAAGGAACCTGTTAATCAAAAGGTTGGAATAGGTGTATATATACCAGAATTTAAAGTACGAATTAGTTTGAAATTGCCAGATGATTTATCAGTATACACTGCAGAGCTAACAGCTATAATAATAGGACTACAGTGGGTTGAACAAGTCAGACCAAATAAAGTGGTAATATGTTCAGATTCATCTTCAGCTTTAATTAGTATAGCACATGCGAGATCAGACAGAGAAGATTTATTAATAGAAGTGTATCTATCTTTATACAGATTGAAAGAGGCTGGAATAATGGTATATTTTTGTTGGGTGCCAGCACATGTTGGGGTATCTGGTAATGAAGTTGCTGATAAACTAGCAAAGAAAGCACTAGACAAGATGGAGGTGGATGTTAAAGTGCCTATGGGAAAAAAGGAGGCAAAGTCGCTTTTAAAGAAAAAGTTAATGAATAAATGGCAAATTAGATGGGATAATAGCAGCACAGGGAGATGGTGTTATAATATTACGCAGACAGTAGGGAGGATCAATTGTCAGGGAAGAAATAGGAAAGAAGAGGTGTGGCTGTGTAGATTAAGACTGGGACATACAGGTTTGAAATCAACACTGGCATTTATGGGTTTACATGAAAATGGGTTATGCGATGTATGTGGTGTATCTGAAAATGTATATCATGTACTTTTTAGGTGTAGTAAATATAGTGTATATCGTGACATATTATTTAGTCACTTTGAAGATATTTTAGGAAAAGGTTTAATGGATAGACAGGTATACAGAGCACTAATTAAATATATCTATGACTCAGGTTTAGGATCTAGATTATAATATGTGTGTGGATTGGAGTATTCTACCTAATCTGGGGCATGAAGAGCTAATTGTGAGTGTTAGAGGAGTTGAACACACAGCGCTAGCATGAGCATGTGATCTGAGTGCGCCATAGTTTGGAGAGAATAGGAAACATCCACCAATAGGTTTTTTTTTTTTACTGAAAATTTCAGACTCATCACCTATGAAAGTGATAGTGAAAGGCGAAAGGCGATAATGCTCCTAAGGAGTTATTGGCCATAAAACAAGAAGACGAAGTGGCATTCTCAGCGGAGCGGTGTGCTTGTATACTTATATTATTAAATGATTATAAATTATTATTATACTAGAACTGCGTGAAGAGAGCATGCACTGCTGTTGTTTATATTGCTGTTTGTAGCCTGTGGAAGTAATGTTAGCTGCAGCAAGGGGCTATAAAATTTTTGTTCAATATTTTCCTAATGACAATTTTATGATCGGTTTATAAAGGCTACTACGCACCTTTTCCCCATTTTTATCACAGAATAAGGCAGGAAATTTATAGTTTCTATAGGCTACTAAATGATATGTCAATCAGTACTGCATTATTCATAAAGTTTATTTATTACCTGGAGATAACTTGAAAAACACACCTAAACCGTTTATTTTCGCAATGTGTTTATTGTCTTCACGTTTTTTTCTGTTTTTTATTCAGCTCAGCTACAGCCGGATGCTTTTGTCCATATCAGGGTTTCCTGTACATCATAAGTCATTACTTCTATGAGTCTGTTTTGGACTTTCTGCACGAGAGCGCCCTCCGGCTTCGAGTATGAAATAAACATGCACTGCATGAGAGTGTTGAGCCTCCAGATATTCACTTCTCCTCATTTTGGATACCAATAAAACGTCAGGTCATGCATAGACTTATCGATACGGTCTCTTTGAATTTAAATCTAGAAACCTCTACGTGAACACACCTGCCCGAATAAAGTGTGGGGGACGAAATTACATTTCTTTAAAATTAAATATTAAATATGCAGCTAAGGTTCTACACAATAATATATAAACAAAGGTGCCTGTTCTCGTTTGTTCTTGCTGTTTGATTGGGAAAAGTTTAAAGGTCTTCGAGGGGTCTTGTCTTTGTTATCTGACTAAAAACTATTACTTTGAACTTTTTTTTTATTACAGTGTTTATTTTAAAAACGTAGATTGCCTTAAAAATAATGATCACAACCCTGATAAAACAGGCTTATACTGATTTTCTCATCCTCCGATTTATAGGCTACTTATCAATCCTGTTTTTATCATCATTATAATTTAAAAAATGAATAAATTCAGAAGAGGATTATAATATAATTATATTTTAAATAAGACAGAAATGTTTTTTCTACAACAACAGTAGGCTAGTGTTTACAACAGCAAAACCACCATACCCTGTAAACTCAATAATAATAATAGGCCTAATTTAATTCAATTTAAATGCAATTAACTATTTATTTAACTTCTGTTCTGTGTTTCTTTTTCAAAACTGCGTCACGGCATTTGCTTCTATCAATACAGAAGCATCCGTTTCGATACATGTCTCAGCAAGGAGCACAGCCCTATTAAAAGCCGTGCTCAATGTGCCCCTTTTATACTTTGAGCACCTGCCCCTCCAAAGGTCTCTGCACGGCCCTGCACAGTAGCGCCTGCAAATGAATGCTTAATACATTAAAACAGTACTGAGCAATTGCGCCACCTACTGGTTCTCCAGCAAATGTGAACAATCCATTGATGGCAGATTCACTGGCTGATAATGCGGTATGAATTTATGGATTCATGTCTCTGTGTGTGTGTGTGTGGATTGACATCATGCACAAATGTGTTTAGTGAAGTTAAATGTGAAGGTGATATTATTTTTGGGAAGTTTAGCAAATCTCCCTTTTTAAATGTACAAAAATGTGCTTTCTCTTTATTTTGCCTCTTTGTACAAAGATGTTTTTTTTTCACCTTTTTGAATTTGAATCATTAAAAAAAGAATCTGTTGGTCTGTGAATTATGATAGTTTAACAAATAAATGAATATAAAGGAAGCAATTTTTTTAATGCAGCATAAAATTGCAATAAGGCATGCCAGCTTTGACAAAATTACAGTAATATGTTTCTTTAGTTCAGAGTATATATATATA